ACATGAAAAGGCAGGTGCTACAGACCAGCCACAATCACGACACAAACAGAAAACCTGAAATACAAACCTAGGGCGTCTGTGTGGCTCAGTCGGTTAAGCGTCCGACTCTTGACTTTGGCTCAGGTCATGATCTCGTGGGTTTGAGCCCCATGACGGGCTCCATGCTGACAGTGTGCTGCCTGCCTGGGATTCTCTCTCTCTCTCTCTGACCCTTCCTTGCTCGCTCACTCTCTCAAAATAAGTAGATAAACGTAAAAAAATATATATATTATATACACATACATAAATATAAACCCAGCACATGCAGGTGGCTTTAAAGAGTAAAGCACTAAATCGGAGATGAGCCCTCTGGGACGCAGCACGGCTGGAGCAGGCAGGCCAGAGAGGGGCACCCGGAGCCCAAAGAGGGAAGACCGTGCGGGCCAAGAACTGAGAACAAGGGTGGTGGACACCTGGGCCAAGAGCATGCATGCCTGGTCTCCTGCAACGTGTGTGGTACTCCCCATTCTGGGGGAAGTGGTCCCTTTCTAGGCGGGACACCGCAGAGCTGACAAGGCCTGGTGCCACCCACCCCCGGCACACTTGCCCCCAAGGGGTATGTTGGTTCTAGGGGTGCCGGGAAAGGCCTACCTCACTGAGCGTGCCCCTTCCCATCCCGGCCAGCTGAGCCTCGAGCTGCTCGCTCACACACATGATCTCCTTTTCTTTGTTCTGCAGAAATGCCTGTGGAAATAATCACAGCGACGCCAATAAAATGTGACTATGGGAAGCGGTCCCCTGACCTGGCAGACGTGCGGTACCCTAATAAACCCATGAGTGTAAATACTAGCATTCAATCCGAAAGTGGTTTTCTGTATGTTTCCCACTGAAGGACGCCTGATGCCTGCGATTGGCCTCAAACCCTGTTGTCACCAGCATCATGTGACACTGCCTGTGAGGGTCACGCACCCAACAGCGACCGGGGGTGCCACAGGCAAGGGCTCTGTACGCAATACATCACAATTCTGCTTCCTTTACACCCTGAGTCTCCTCAGAAGCATGATTACACTAAGGCATTAGAAGATTTTAAAACAGAATGTCGAAAGAAAGAGAAAGAAAGAAAGAAAGAAAGAAAGAAAGAAAGAAAGAAAGAAAGAAAGAAAGAAAGAAAATTAAAAAAAAAATAAAAGTATTTTTCTTTGTCCTGCTCATAGGAAGGGTTAACAACCAAAAATCACCTCTCCAAGAACAGGGTGTCTATAATGACCCAAATAGGTAAGTGGTGAACATTTACTTTCTCTTGACAGCTTCTACTGTCAGACAAGTGTGCCCCTGCTGCCGCTGAGCTCCAACAAGCGTCCTCTACAAGACTGGCTCTCAAGACGCACACCAGACCCAGAGGCTGGTGCAGGAGGCACGGGGTCCAGGTGGCCCTGGGCTCTGCCCCCTGCACACCTTCTAGAGCCACCCCGGCTCAGACCTTGGAGCAGAAGGCAGGCATCTCCTGAATGCCTGCAGCAGAGGACTATCCTCGGTGCCCACAGTGTCTGGGACCCGGGGCTGGTGGTCCCTGGGCAGGTGGTGGCACAGGCACAGACGTGGAGCCTGGTGTCTGGGCAGGCCTGCCGGCTCACCTTCAAGCGAGCATTCTCCTCTTGCAGTTCTCGCAGGCTGACGGAGGCACGGCTGCTCTGTGTGTCCAGCTTCACGTTCAGGTGCAGCCCTTCATCGCACTTGCTGACTAAGTCATCCTTAATCTCTCCTAACTGTTCTTTCAAGTCTAAAACCTTTCATTAAAATAAGAGAGAATATTAAAAAGTACCTAACATTCTAGTCCACTTAATAATTATGAAAGCTACAAATTAAAAGATTTAAGTACACGGCAAAAAAGAGCTACTGATATTTTATAGCCCACACCAAGCTGTTATATACAGTAGACACAGACCCCTTCCTGCATCATTTGGGTGTCCTGCCCCTCCACACAGAAGGGCAGTGAAGGCCACCAGCAGCCCTGAGCAGAGGGGAGTCCCCCATGGCCCCCCACACTTGCCTCACTCTCCCGCTGCCGGAGCGCTGTCTGTACTGCCTCTAATTGGACTTCTGGGCTCTCAGGACAAGTGCCTGCAGGAGGTGTGGGGCAACTGCCCTCATCGAGTTTAGACTGCAGTGTGGACACCACTCCACGCTGCTCCTGTAATGCCTCTTTATCCTGTTTAAGAATAAAAGAAGATTTACTTTAGGCAAGTACTTCAGGAACTGGGGGCCTCAAACTGATCTGAGTGCACGGTGTCCTCAGCTCTTCCTGGAGCTCATGTGCACACAACTGCACATACCTGTGCACCCCTGCACACACCAGACACACAATCTATAGACCGGCTGTGCTCCAGAGCACAGATCTGCTTGGTGAAGGATGTGACCCCAAACAGAGAGCCAATGTGTGTGCCAGCGAGGTCACTGCAATAAATTCGTCCTTAGTAATTATTCAGGAAGACACAAAAGTGGTCTCTAGACTGTTGGCTATTCAGAAGAAAATTGCAAAGAACCTGCCAACAAACAGGGCGATGGCTCATCAGGGCACCGCACATCTGTAAGATGAACACTAATGTCTCATTAAAAATTTTCAAAGGGCATTTAATATGGACAAAAGAGTCACAATAAATTAAGTGGACAAGAAGTTACATCTTTGTGGAAGGGAAAAGGGGCATTTTTTATACCTATAGCATCTAATATGCTCAGTAAATGTTTGCTGAAGGAAGGGAGGAGGGATGAGGAAAGATGGAGGAGGGAGAAAAGATAGAGGGGCAAGGGAGGAAAGCAGGAAGAGGGAGCGAGCAGGGACAGAGAGAAGAGAGATGGCAGGAGTGAAGGAAGAATGGAGAGAGGAGGGACGGACAGAGCAGGGATGGAGGGGAGAGGGAGCAGGAAGTATGGAGGAGAAAAGAGGGGAGGAAGGAGAGATGGACTGGGCAGGAGTAAAGGGTAGAGGGAGGAGGGAGGAGGGAGGAGGGATGGGTGGAGCAGGAAGGAAGGGAGGAGGGAAGAGTGAGAGGGAGGAAGAAGTACAGAGGGAAGAGGGAGGACGGAGGGAGGAGAGATAGGTGGAGCAGGGGCAGAGGGAGGAGGGAAGAGGTCAGAGGGAGGAGGGAGGGAAGAGAGTGGAGGGAGGGAGGAGAGACAGGTGCAGCAGGAGCAGAGGGGGGAGGGTGCAGGGACTGATGCAGCCGCCCTGAGCCGAGCTGTCCCCAGGCAGCACAGAAGAGGCCAGAGTAGGGGCAGGGCTCCCCTCTTGTGCTGGGCGCCCCTCCCGAGACAGTAACCGCTCAGGTCCTCGCCCTCGGGAAGACCCCTGACCTCAGTTAACTGTTGGCGTCTGCATTTTCGACAACCAAACACACCTGACAAAACTCTCCTCTCCTTGAAGCTGGACTTGTCACAGGATCAAACCAACGACTGTAAAGTAAGATTTCTCACCAACCCCCACTTTTCCAGTAAGCGTCTAACCTCTGGTGACATGAAATACATGAAAGTCACAAGCTCAACTCCTGCGACTAACAGCTGGAGAGGAGGGCCGGGTGGCTGGGTCGGACGCCTGGCAATCAGAGGGCATCCGCCTCGACCTCAACTTCAGACACAAAGGACGATGTCTGTGCCACAGACGCACGCTCCCGATGGCAGTGCACCCAGAGAGGGCACGGACTCTCCTGACCCTCTCCCCGTGCCTTGCCCTCTGTGTCTCCTCATCTGGCTGTTCCTGAGTTGCACCCTTTCTCAACACACTGGTGATCTAGTGAGTGAACGGTTTCCCGGAGAGCGCTGAGCCACTCTAGCAAATTAACCGAACCCAAGGAGGGGCTCGCAGGACCCTCCATCTGTACAACAGGACTTGCCAACGGCCCCTGAGGGGGCAGTCTCGTGGGACTGAGCCCCTCTCCTGTGGGGGCTGACGCCACCTCCAGGTGGACGGTGTCTGAGTTACACGACCTCCCACCAGGGTCTGCCGAGAACTGGATGTTGGCTGTGCGGGCCACCCACCCCCCCGGCCCCAAACAACCGTCAAGAGACTGGAAGCAGTGAAGTGTATGCAGCAGAGGGTTGGCTGGCAGCCAGTGAGACACGAGGGGACACCCCCTCAGAGGAAATGAGGCCGCAGTGGAGTCCGGCACGGCCCGCTATGGATCTGCCAACCCCCGGCCCTCCCGGCACGGTGCGGGCACAGCGGCCCAGGTGGAAGGTGCCCCGCCGACAGCCCCGACCGAGACCCCACAGAGCCTCCACGCGACAAGGGCCGCTACCTGCTGCAGCGCTTTCACGGTGTTTCTCTGCTTCTCCAGTTCTTCTCGTAGTTCAGTCGCTTCTCTTCGGCAGCTGGCATTTGTCTCCTGGAGACGTTTAATTTCCTGTTCCTGGATTAACACTTGTCTGTCTGCCAATTCTTTCTTTATAACCAGTTCATCAAACCCATCTGATTTCTCTCTCAACTTTTCTTGTAGCAATTCAACCTAAAACAAAGAAATTGCTTGAGAAATACAATAGTTAAAACAGCCATCTTCCAAATAAGAAAGCATACAACACAACTGAGGAAACACTGATCCTGACGAGTGGTCTACACGGAGACTACACCCAGGAGCCTAGTGAGACAGAAAATTGTAATGCGGGTGTTCTCTCAATAAAGACGTAGAAAAATATTAATATAACACAAGATCTGTTAGGAAAACAAAGTTAATCTTGTTAGTAGGGAAGGAAAAGCTATTCGGCAATACAAGGAAAGGACTCTGGGCACAGCAACCCCCTGGGCAGGGTCCAGAGAGCCAGGCCGAGTGAAGGAGGTCAGTCTCACACGGGCACAAACTGCTTGTCTGTTTGTGCAACTGCAGACATGACACAACTAACACAGAGGCCAGGCTAGTGGGTGGGAGGGGACCCCACATCCGTGTCCTGGCTGTGCTCCCGGCTCGACCTCTGTGGGCATCACCCCAGGGAAGTGGGTGAAGGGTGCACGGGACATTTGTCTTACTGCTTACAGCTGAAAATGAATCCACAATCCTCTCAAAATATGTGTAATGCTTTAAAAGAAGAGGCAAATCAGCTGCAGCCATGCCAGGCAGAAGGAAGCAGGCAAGTCGGGCTCCAAGCAAAAGGAAGCAAGAGAAACAAGCAAGCAACGAGCCCACGTGTGAGAGGGCCCCTGGCCTCCCCCGCCCCACGGGTCATGCGGTGGGAGGGCAACACGCCATACCTCCTCATCCAGCTGCTCCTGTGGTCGTCGTCAGGTACATGGAAGGCAGACAAGGAAACCGAAAGGTAAAACTTCAAAGCATCACAGAGGATGGCTACCCCACGGGTACAGCGTGTGACGGGCTGACTTACATCGCGGACGCATGGGCCCCGTGGCCGGGCCGCCTGTCGGAGCTGCTCCTCCAGCCTCTGGATCTCCCGCTGAAACTCCTCCCGCTCGTGTTCCCGCTCGACAGCCTGCTCCTGTCGAGAAAGGCGGTCTGCTGGGACAGCTCACAGACGCTGGCGGGACACAGCGCTTCCCCTGGCTGCACCCACCTCCCGCCGAAGGGGAGGGGGCTGCACGAGGTCGGGGGAGGGGACAGCCTGCTCGGATGCGGACTGCTGCGGCCAGCACTTCCCTTCCACACGCATGTCACTACCCAAGGAATGGGCTCCGAGTCACGGGGCACTTTGTGAAGCATAGCGAAACGCAGAGGGACGGCCCTGCAGGTGCAAGGCGGGGAGGCCTGTGAACGTGGACGGGAGGAACGTCACAGAAAGCAAACGGCTTGGGCCCAACTGGGGGAGCTACAGGCGCCTCCCGGGTGCTGGGCACGCAGGGCCTGCAGCCTGGGCTGATGGAGGCCCCCCAGGCCATGCACATGAGGGGGCCCCTCAGTCACACATCACAAACGTGGACAACCTCCGAGATGAGCACCAAGCAGCAACGGGACCACAACAATCTGGCCGCACGTGAACCCAACGTTGTGTCGTGGGACCTCACGCTATGAGGATGACTCCGGGGCCACAGAGACAACCTATCCCAGGTGCTTACGTCCATGAACTGGCGCTGGCTCCGCAGATGCTTGTCCAGAGCCGCCATCTGCTGCCTCAGCGCCGAGAGCTCCTCAGCCTGCTTGGCACACGCTTCGTGCCGAGAGAGCTGTTCCTCCAGCTCAGCCTCGAACACCTTCATCTGCGAGAGCAGAACTGCGCGGTCTTTCTCAGACTGCTTCCTGGCCTCCAGCTGCTCCTGGGTTAGACACTCCACCTCCCTACGAAGAGCTGCAAGTGCAGAGAAAACAGGGACACGAGCTCCATAGCTCGGGGCGGGTACGTGGGCCAGAGCGGTAACAAAATGTGTTCGGCAGCGTCCCCGCACAGCAGGGACATCCCAGGAGAGAGCCCACCCCACGTCCAGCCTTCCCAGAGGCCCCAGACCAGAGCCTGGCCAGGGGCTGGGGGCACAGCGTCCCTTGAGGCTCCCAGACCCCACCCCCTGGAAACAGGGGGACACAGCCACGGCCGGGGAGGGGACACGCACTCTGAGAGCCAGTGTGAGCCCGTATTTAGCCAGATACCTGGAGAAAATAAAGTCAAGTACTTCTACAAAAACAAACCAAAAAAACTGCCTTTTAAATTAAGATTGGCTAGGGCGCCTGGGTAGCTCAGTTGGTTAAGTGGCCGACTTCGGCTCAGGTCATGATCTCGCGGTCCATGAGTTTGAGCCCCGTGTCGGGCTCTGTGCTGACAGCTCCGAGCCTGGAACCTGCTTCAGATTCTGTGTCTCCCTCTCTCTCTGCCCCTCCCCTGTTCATGCTCTGTCTCTCTCTGTCTCAAAAATAAATAAACGCTAAAAAAAATTTTTTAATTAAGATTGGCTAAAATATAACATTTTGAAGACTGAAAGAATATATCTTGGTATTCCCAAAAGACATATCAGCTAATTTTCCAGGAATTATTCCTTTATGTATACTCTCCGATATGGAAAAATAAAATGTAACTTAAAACCTCCATCAGAGGGAACACACGCCCGGATGTTCACTGTAAACATGCTCAGTATGCATGCAGGGCCGGGGCGGTGTCTCAGAGGAACAGGGTCCAGCCATCAGGAAATCAAAGCCAATCTAAAATTAACTGGATGATAAGGCCACATTCCAAGTAGAAACTGGAAATTAGTAAGCACCTATAAAAAAAAGGAGGCTTGCCTCTTACGAATCCTGAAGTGTTCAAACCATCTCTAAACTGAATTTTAATTTCAATAGTTTTCACTTACATTTTTATGCTTTCAAGACTCATGTCGTTTTATAAAAATTTGTCAATCTTTTATGGCAAACTACCATCACCACTTCATGCGAATAACTCAGCAATTATGATAAATTAGCCTTAAACATGCAATTAGAACACCGACATCCGCACCCCTGGAGTCAGTGCTGCCCGGTCACGCACCCAGACAGGACCATCCTCAGAGCCACATGCCGCAGGAAAGGCGGCCCAGCACACGTGGCCTCCGTGCAAGTGGCACTGCAAGGAAGGTGTCCTGTGGTCGTTCGGGCCACGCTGAGGGCCACCTACAAAGTCGGGCCAGCACAGAAGCTCCACTCAGGTCCCCGAGCCCCTCCACGGACACCCACCGGGGCCTCCAGGGCCACTACCCCCCCGACCCCGCCCAAGCAGCACACGCCGCAGCAGAAATGCTCGCCCATTTTCATGTATCAATACTAAAGATTAAAGTTGGCTTTTTGTTGTTGTTGTTAACAGTCTGCCACAAAAGCTTTGAAGTAGTTTTCTTTTTTGGTAAAAAATTGGGGAAATCTGGTGCAGACACAATGCATATCACACGGCAGCCACTTGTTTGTTTTTACAGACCTGAGTCCTCATGTGCTATGGTAACAGGAATGCCTATGAATGAAAACACACAGCATTTTCAGAGTGGAAACACGAAGTCAGACACAGGGTTCCAGGGAGTGTCTGCGTTCCTGGACGGTCTCTAACACTTGTGCTTTTCTGTAGCACCGTGACGATTGTCTCAACGTCTGTGACCCCCCTCCCCAATATCCATATGTTGAGCCTCACGAATGGGATCTGAGCCGAAGAGAGACCCCAGAGAGCGGCCGGCTCCTCCCAAAAGTGAGGACACGGTGCAGAGGCTGGTGTTTATCAGAAGGCGGCGTGCCGGCGCCTTCATCGTGGACCCCACCCTCCAGGGCTGCGAGCGGCCAGTGCCTGTTGTCTGCAGCCTGTCCACGCCTCCTGTGACAGCAGCCCAGGCAGACTGGTGCCCTGGAGCTGCAGTGCGTCCTGGTTGCCCAACAACTTGACACCGACTTCTATTTATTTATTAATGTTTATTTACTTATCTTGAGAGAGAAAGACAAAGCGCGCATGAGTGTGAGTCAGGTCGGAGAGGGGTAGAGAGATACGGAGAGAGAGAAATCCCAAGCGGGCTCCACACTGTCAGCGCAGAGCCCAATGTATGGCTCAGTCTTCCCAACCATGAGATCACGACCTGCGCTGAAATCAAGAGTCAGATGCTTAACCCACTGAGCCAGCCAGGCACCCTGGCGCTGACTTTTAAAGGAGACAAAAAAGCCCCTGTGGGACAGATGGCATCGCCCTGAAAGCAGCCACGAGACACCCCTCACACCCACAAGACACCACGCCAAGAGGTGAGGCAGAGCTGAATTTCGCCACATGGCACCAGGACCTCCAAGAACTCTTGGAAAGTTGGTCAACATTCACGAGGACCCAAAGCAGAATCAGGACCAAGTGGCCACACCCTGGGCCACACCTGGGGGAGCCCACAGTCAGAGAAGGTCAGGAGGTGTTGCGTTGTGCTGGTGGGCAGCATTTCACACAACTGACACATGCGCGAGTCCCCACACAGAAGCACAGAATCCTGCAGCTGGGTGAATGGAAGGACCAGAGGTCACAGTAAGACATGCGAGTGGGGGCGGGGCTGATGATGTAAGATGACCCCAGCTGCACAGGAAGTACACTTCACTGGTGACAAAGGGAAGGAGCAGAGACTGGCCCCGCTCTTCTGCCAATGAGCACCGGGGCTCTGGAAGCTGTGGCCGAATACAGGAGGCCAGGCCTGTCTGAGGGGGTAACCAGAGACACAGAGGTGCTGGAAGACATGTGGGAAGTGCCAGGACCAGGTGTGGCAGAGCGTCTGGGGACGGACCTCACGGAGGCAGGGCCACTCAGGCCTCAGGCAGCGAGGACAAGGCTGTCCCCCAGCACAGGGCTACATGGTCACTCAGCTGGTCCCACTTGTCTGTGTCTCCCACAGGCCCCGGCCCTGAAGTCCCAACACCCTAGAGCTTACCACCATGCTCACGGTGGTAAGCTCGATCTTGATGGATGGGGCATGGGCCTAGCCGCCCCACATACATGCAGGCCAGGGCAGTAACACCTGAGAACGGGTGGAAGGGGCCCTGCACTAGGAAGGTCTGTCCCACTGGGAAGCGCAGCCCATGAGAAGTTCCAAGACAGAAGAAAACGTGTTTAAAAAAATAATAACTGACAAGTCCTCAGACCCACACTCATGCTCACACATGCTCACAGGTGCACACCCACACTCACATGCTTGCTCACACACCTGCCCACTTGCACACATCCTCCCACATGTGAATGGAGCCTTGCCTGAGAACAGCACGGCCAGGCGCAGGGACAGAACCAGGAGAGAACAGGACAGGTCAGTGTTAGGGGACACAGGACACCGGCCTGAATGAGGAAGGAGCAAACACAGAAGAACCGGATGCACAGCTTCACAACCAGCAGAGGTAGGTCCCTTCCACCCAGAGAGACGTGGGAAGTGTGGTGACAAGCACCAGAGGAGCAGAGGTGGACCCCGCGGCTGTGGGCACAGCGCACACAAGACATCCCAGATTAGCTCTGCAGAAGTCATTAGTAGGAGATCCACAAGACACAATTAAAGGTGTAAAGAGATTGAAAATAAAGGGTGAAAATGACATATAAGAGATAAAACAAAGCCAGATTAAGGTTTCAATATCAAAAATTTACATCAAAAGTCAGAAAAGTGACAGGAACATATAAGTAGATTGATGTCATCAATAGCAAGTCAAGCAAGAAGATGAGGTCTGGAATGATTACACACAGACCTTCTGAAACATCCCATGTGGGTGGAAGCCAAGGCCACTCACAACTCGCTCTGCCCAAAGAAGCCACAGGTCCGCCAGACCCACACCTCAGCAGCACGTGAGCCTTGGCAGACACAAGCCAAGCACCTGCCCAGGAGGGCGCACAGGACAAAGAAGAAGTAAGACAAGGCCCAAAACCAATTAAGTGGAGGACAAAGAAAGTGGCAATGATTAGTAATCCCAAAAGCTGATTGTTTATTAATGAAGGAAATCAAAAAGAATTAAAAATTGGGGAAAAGACCCGATGTTTAGGGGTGCCTGGATGGCTCAGTCGGTTAAGCACCCGACTCGTGATCTCAGCTCAGGTCTTGATCTCACGGTCGTGAGTTCAAGCCCCATGCTGGGCTGCATACTGGGCATGAAGCCTACTTAAAAAAACAAACAAAAAAAAACAAAAAACAAAAGACCTGATGGTTATAGCAGCACTATCAACAACAGCTACACTATAGAAAGAGCCCAAATGTCCATCAACAGATGAATGGATACAGAAGATGTGGTGTGTATATATGATGGAATATTACTTGGCAATCAAAAAGAATGAAATCTCGCCATTTGCACCCACGTGGATAGAAGTAGAGTGCGTTATGCTAAGCGAAATACGTCTGTCAGAGAAAGACAAATACCATATGATTTCACTCATATGAGGAATATAAGAAACAAAACAGATGAACATAGGGGAACGGAGGGAAAAAGAGAAGAAAGGGCAACAAACCCCAAGAGACTCTTAACAACAGAGAACAAACTGAGGCTTGATGGAGGCAGGTGGGTGGGTGAGAGGCGGGCCAGGGGGGCACTTGCTGGGATGAGCACTGGGTGTCATACGTAAGTGATGAATCACTGAATTCTACTCCTGAGACCTATTTTACCATATATGTTAACTAGAGCTTAAATAAAAATTTGAAACAAACAAAAATTGGGGAAGAGTAAAGAGTTTCCTGAATTGGTCAAGGCTGTACCACAAAGCAGACTTGTGTGCCCATAAACTATCTGAAAGCCACAAACCCAGAGATGGGCCGGTGGCACAGGAGGCACAGGGACACTGGGAGTCCCTGGTGGGCGAGGGTGTGAGACACATGGTTCTGGGGAAGGCTGAACCCACACGGAGCTGATTCTTACACATCTGCTCCTGAGGACACCGCCGCCTATGGACTCAATGACCTGGACGCCTTCCATTTTGACTGTTCACGTGTTAAATGTTTAAAACATAAAACCTCTAATAATCTGAAATCACAATGAACTTTTGTTAAAACTACGTTTTCCTATTGAAGATTAACGTTAGGCGCTTTTTTAAAATCTTAACTAAAAATTTTAAGTGGCCTGTGTTTTCCCACTGCCATGGCTATTTATCTCAAACAGGCTGGTGACATTTCAGTGGCCTCCTGTTTGCCAGAGGCAATTCTGGCCTCACACTGCTGTAAGAACTCGAGGGGCCACCAGGGCCAGCCGTCTCTCTAACGGAGCAGCGACACGGAGGACGCTGCACCAGCCACCCTGATCAGGGCCCCTGCCTTCTTTCCAAGGCCCTTGGTGAGTGAGAGCGGCCCCTGCTCCCACCCTCTGCAGCTCCCATCTCTGGCCGCGGAACCAGCATTTCTTACCATCTTCTCTCTCTCCTGCTTCTGCGGCCAAGGTCTCCTTTTGGGTCCACAGGACAGAGTTCTCCTCCCTCAGCTCTGCCTGCTGCTGGGTCGCCCGCTCCAGCTGCCGTCTCAGGCTCTCCAGCTCAACGGCGAGGCCCTGCTCGGCTGTCTCCTTCTGGCCCAGCGCCTCTTGCAAGCTGGCCTGCTCCACCTTGAACCCTTCGATGAGACCTGAGGAGACGGGGAGAGACCCGTTGCCAAGGGCTTGCTGGAGAAGCAAAAGGAGCAGACGGGCCGGACATGGGCATCCCAGCCCCAGCGAGATGTCAGCCGTGGGATATGAGAGCGGAGTGGTCACGCCCGGGGTCCTGTTCCCAGATGGATGGCACCAGGCCAGCGCACCCAGCACGTGCAGGAGTCACCGGACAAGGTGACAGCCCGAGAGCAGCCATGTACAAGACACCCCCACCACACGCCTGCACACACCCCTCATGCCGAGTGTCTAGCACGTAAGCACCAGACACCATAAACATGGGGGTCACAAATGTCACCTCTTGGGGCAGGACCGATGTTCCCTTCTCGCCACGTAAGGCAGCGCTCCGAGGCTGTGAGCCTGGGATGCGGCAGAGGTTAAGTGCGGAGAGAAGAGCCACCCCGCCTGGGCCCTACCCGCTGCCACAGCCCTGGCTCCCGAGAAGAGCCTGCGCGTGCAACGGCTTTTGTGAGCAAAGTCCCCAAGGCCTCACGCCATCTGTCTTATTTTAGCTTTACGTTTTGCTTTGAACGCTTCCGTTAATGCTTCCCCGTCCCATGTGCCTCTGGCCGGCGCGCCCCTGCAGACCCTCCCCGCCCGCAGCCGGCGCTCACCCCGCGCCTGGTGCAGCTCCAGCGTCAGCCGTGTCCGGGCCGCGTTCTCCTCATCCAGGCGCTCCAGTAACTCCTGGTGCTTCCTAACGACCTGCGCTGTTTCCTCGTTCTTACAGCTAAATTCTTTCTCAAAACGAGAATGAATCTGACGTGCTTCCTCCAGCTGTTAAAACACATTTGAAAACCAGAATTGCACTTCAATATAAAGCTAACGTCAACAGAATTCCACTTGTGTAGAAGTAGAATACAAATATTGCGGAAGAAACCATTTTGGCATTCAATATTAGGTCAATTATTAAATAAACCTACTCATTCAACAATTTTCAATAAAGTAAAATTCCAGGGGAGCCTGGGTGGCTCAGTGGGTTAAGCATCTGCCTCTTGAACCCAGCTCAGGTCATGATCTCACAGGTTGGTGGGATTGAGCCCCATGTCACACTCTGCACAGATAGTACAGAGCCTGCAGGATTCTCTCTCTCCCTCTCTCTCTACCCCTCCCCTCCTCTCTCTCTCTCAAAATAAACCTAAAAAAAAAAAGAAGGAAAAATTCTGCACATAGACACAATACTACACAGAAAATTCACATGTTCGTGAACTACTGATACCACATATCTATCTGTACAATAAAGCTAAGGAGAATGTATATTCAAAGATCACAAAACTGTCCATCGAGAGCCTAGAACCTGGGCAGGAACGACCACTTGGTGCTCCACAGGTGGAGGAGGAGATGGGGAGGCCTGGGGTGGGCGGGCTGGGAGGAAGTTCTCCTTGGGCTGGTCACCACAGTGGGAAGATCTGACACGTCTTCACCACCTGCAGACCCATCCTCCCTCCCTGACATCCCTCTGGGCCTCCCTGGATGCCACCCACTCAGGACTCAGCCCTGGGTCCCCATCTCCCCTTCCTCCCCTGGCAGACATGCCTTCCTGTGCCCTCTGAGGCTCCCAGGCCAGCTCCAGCCTGGAGGGCCCACACTAACCTCTGGATCCAAATACCTGTGCCCAGCTGTGCCAACAGACACCTGGGCACCTAGCCTGGGCCTCCCTCATATTCACTGCACCCCCAGACCAGCCTCTGAGGGAATCTACTGGTTTTCCCTTGAAAACAGCCCTAAGCTGCCTCTTCTCACACTCTCACCAAGTAGGGAAAACTTGCTTAAGTATTTCTAGGATGTGAATGGCAATGTCCTGGCTAAAAATGTTTAGTTTCTAATTGGGCTGAATGGGGGAAAAATTGCTATACTGCTTCTCATGCATTCATATTTAATGTCTTTCCTAATTGTCTAAAATGCTCTAAAAGATTCACACAAACAATTCCCTTTTCTAGTGACAATCCCGAAACTAAAACGGTGCAGGAGATAAAAGCAGAGTGGAAGCGAGAGGCCCAACCGCATGATCTACCAGACGCTCAGCTCTTCTCTGTGCACGGCGGTCCCACAGCCTCAGAAATTCTGGTTCAGAAAAGACTCCCACTTAGTAAAGACACAGAGCAGAGTATGGTTGGTACTGACAGAAGATCAAAAAGACATGTGGGGAAGGTGGGTCACACCCAGAATGGAGTTTCTGTCCCCCAACGCCCAGAGGAGGAGTGAACACGAGAAGCCGGATCCACCAGGAAGAGTGACAATGTTCCTTCTATCCCTGCATGTACGGTGCCCGGCAGAGCACCTGGGGGCTGCAGGACCCTCCCCCATCAACTGTAGATCATCAAACCATTCCATCCACCCACTTGTTCGACCTGTTGTCCTTCTCAAAAAACAAGGAACACTAACAGGAGTTAAATCAGGGTCACAGACCTGTTCAGACGGTGCACAGAGCCATGTCTCACCTGCCTGGTGGAGTCCAGAGCCAGCTCCAGGAGGCCGTCCACTGCCAGGCCAAGGCTCCGGTAAATCCTCCTAATTGGCTGCTCACACTCCAGTGAATTTTCTGGGCTCATGAAAAAGCTTTCACAGACGTGACTGCTAATTTCAGCCTCTGAAGACACCTCTGCACATTCAGGCAAAGTTCTGTCCAGCTCCAGCAGGGCTGCCTCAGGCCACGTCTCCTCGAGCACCGGTACTGCGAAGTGAGGAAACGCAGGGACCTGCATACACCATGTGGCCAGCGAGCCCGCACGACCAGCGCTGTGGAAGGGCGAGCACACCCAGGTCCCAGAGACAACACCCGTCTCGGGCGTAGGGAGCTCGTCCAGCCCTGCCCCAGCGGGGAGGAGGAGGATGGTGCTATGCACCCCGGCCCAGGGTCCGCGGGCACAGGGCCGTCCTAGTGCTCACCTGCAGACGGGCCCTGGCCACTGGGCCGCACTTCACGAGGGCTCTCGTCCTCCAGACACAGCCCCACGCGCTCACTGATCCGGCTCTTCAGGGTGACGGCGGCCTTCAGCGTCTCTCCGAACAACCCGAGCAGCCTCCGCAGAGTGTCTCGGAGAGCTCTCCTGAACGAAGCACATAGTAGGCCATGACCCTGATCCTGACTGACTCAGACAAGAGGGACACAGCCCAGGAGGCAGCAGAAAAAGGTACCGTGCACTTGGGTACTGCATTTTACCAGCCTAGCAGGACAAAGAAAGGTTTCAGCTTAAACTGTGCTGGCCTTCAGTCCAACTCCCTCTTGGAACCGGACCGTTCCTATGCGAACCGTGTCCGCTGGAAATGTGTAGGCACTGGGTCCCACTCCTGTTTGGATCAGACTGTTTGCAATGGAACTGTGCTGGCCTTGGGTCTGATTCCTTCCGGAGTGGGCTGTTCCTGTTGAAACTGTGCTGTTGAGGAATTGGTCTCTTTGCTCTAGAGAAAACCCTCTAAGACTAGAGATCCCAGCCATCAAAATGCTTCAGGGGTACCCTCCCTACCAGGACTCTAGCTGGTTTTATGCTAAAAAAACGATGGTCCCTCCACATGTGCATTTATAACTAAGTGAACTGACTTAACCAGAAGTAATTTAGAACTTCGATGGCCATTACGAGGAAGTTTTGATCTCCCTAAGCTTGTTTTCCTCAAAACTGAATTAGAAAGCCATGGCTCCCTAACAAAAGGAAAAAAAAAAAAAAAAACTGAATGGGATGGCTATTTTAAAAGGTATATCAAGGCTTCCAGATGTTTTCAGGATTCTAAGTTTGCCTCTTTGCAAAATATTACTTCTAAAATGATGCAAACAATTGAAAAAAGTAAGAATGGCTTCTGAGGCCTCTTTACCTGCCCCCCCCCTCCCGCCCCCAATCTTCTCTGCAGACATGTGGCGGCCACCTAGTGCTGGGACCCGGCTCCCAGTGCCGTTTTCCTCTGTTGTCTCTGCCAAACTTCCCTTTTCCTCTGAACCTCTTTCCACTCTCGCCTCTCCTGAACCTATTAAAAGCTGCCTCTCTCCAGTTAAGTCTTCTGAGAATCTAAATAAACCTCAGGCTTCTTATGTTCTCTGGTCTAAGGCCAAACTGTGAGCCATGGTTAAGGAGTTCCCTAAAGGAACCAAGGATCCCCCCCAGGTTTATTTAGCATAGTTATTTGCATAGAAACCAACCTGGTTTCTCACATTTACATCAATTTGTCCACATGCCTACTGGTGAGGGCCAGGCCAAATGCTGGATGACTAGCTTTCCTTTGGGACTAGCCCAAAGGAAAGGAAATCTAGAAGGGGATCCTGAAGGGGATCCTGAAGGGGATGTAGAGAATCAAGCCCTTAAACTTGTCAGAATGCTAGAAAATTCACTGGAAATCACTGAGCAATTACAATAGCTTTTTCTAAGCCTACTGATTGGGACAAAATTGAGGCTTGCACACAAAAGCCTGACGAACCTGTTCATCACAACTACAATGGACTCCAAATTGTCATTTGAGACTATTCTGCTGGTTTTTCTTTATGTTGAATCCACCTGGGTAGTATTCAACTCTATATGTTTTTTTTCTAACAGGGTGAACTGGGATCTATCTCTTTTAGTTAAAAGGACCAGGATGGAATGGGAAACTGCCCATATTTAGTTACTATGGCAAACCAGCTACTCATATCCTACATGAATCACCTAAAAGACTGCTGAAATCGTCAACTTTCAAATCTTGCAAGTGATGGCCCCTAAACGAAACCAAAAACCATCTACTCTCTGCTATTGCAAAGAGCCAGGACATTGGGGGAAAAAGAAGAAACTATGACGAATTTCAGCACTCTAGTCACCTCCAGCCCCATAGCCAGCCTTTCCTGACATAGGACAGGACAACCAAAAAGGGTCCTTCCCGCACTGAGGGACAAAACCACTAAACGTGAAAAACCTGACTCTTGATCAGCAATGCATTCAAGGGAAGATCTTGATCAAAAGGGGTTAAGTGTGAAAATTAATAGAAAAACTCGTTTAGAGTGGAGTCAGGGGGCCAGCAGGGGGAACTCTGGTGCCCTATCAACTGCAGACCTATCAGGAAGAGGGACATCTTGCCAGGATACTACTTCACTATCCCAGCTGGAGGAAGGAAGGTTTCTTCCTGTCCAGGCAACAGCCCAGCCAATGAGAAAGTCTCAGTTCTGCCAATGAGAGATTGCCACAGCTCAGCCAATGGGAGACAGTCACAGCTCAGCCAATGGGAGACAGTCACAGCTCAGTCAATGGGAGAGACAGTCACAGCCCGCCAATGAGAAGCCACTAAACTTCCCGGCTCCCAGTTTACTCCAATGGACTTTCTGTTGAGGAAAGCCCCAATCCCCTTTCCTCTATAAGAGCCTCCTCTGCTCCATTCTCCAGACTTGCCTGTGGTGTTGCCCTAGCTGGGTCGCACTGGCTTACTGGCTCCAATTCTCTGTTATTCCGGAATAAACCTATTTTTGCTGGTAAGATATTTGGCAATTAAATTCTAAGGTTAATGCCTCATTATAACATCAAATTTTATAATCTGGCAAAAATGTGAAGATTTGGCAAAGTGAGATGGTGGGTATACAGGTGTCTGTTATGTTACTCAGTACTTTTCTGGAGAAGAATAATGTGGCACAGGCTCCCATCCCACTAGTGGAGAAGGCACTGGGGAAGCAGCAACAGAGAGGAGCATGTGACTGACCTTTCACGGTCAGACAGGTCAATGTCAGACTTCAGCATCGAAATGAGATTCGTGCCTTCCTGGTTTTCCCTTTCATGCCTTTGCTGTAGCTTCTCCAGTTCCGAATGGCACTCTTCTACCTCATGTCTTAAGGATAAAATTTGGTCTTCCAGCTGTTCAGGAAAAATTGTTAAAGCTTTATTTACAACAATTTAGGGGCACTTGGCTTGCTCAGTTGGTAGAGCATGCAACTCTTGATGTCCAGGGTCATGAGTTCGAGCCCTACACTGGGCGTGGAGCCTACTTAAATTTTTTTTTTTTTTAAGTAATTAAAAAAATAATAAAACAATTTAGTTAAGAATAAATTTCTTGGGGCGCCTGGGTGGCGCAGTCGGTTAAGCGT